TTTAACAAACCCAACAAATATATTTATGCATGTCACTATGAAATTGTTGCGAATATGAAAACTAGTTCATTGTTTAAATTGACATTTTCTCATATTTGACAGCAAATTGAATTTGATACACGAAATTAATTGCTAAATTAATAATTCCTAATTTCTTCTATGATTTTTTGCATAAGAGAAAGAGAAAAAGATTATTTGGTTTCATTAATTATTTGATTAATTCTTTAATGGGCCTAATGATATGATGAAATTAATAAATAGACATGCTAGCTTCATTTGTTATCCCTCTTCGATATTCATAGTTTTTCAGGTTTTTTTTCTAGTGTGCTTCGGTTTGAAGCTCTCGGGTAGAGAGGGAGAGAACGGGATGAGAAGTAGAGAGAGAAAGTGTGTTTTCTTGTAATCGTCAAAGCGATCGACATGTGTAATTCCTCAAACTAATTAAATCCTTTGCAGCTCTGCGGACGTAGGCAATTTACCGAACCACGTAAACCTGTGTGTTTCGTTGTTTTCTGTTTTGCAATTTTTTTTCTCAATCCGATTTTTCATTTTATCGTCGTCATTTTTCACAACACAAATCACCGAGGATTTAATAAAAATAAAAACTATGGATTATAATTAAGAAAATGAATGAATGAGAATGATTGATTTTGTAAATAGCAAGTTTGGGGGTGGTGGTGTGCAATTAATTGCCAATAATAATAATTTAAAAAATAAAACCTCCTCTTCCTATCTTTATCAGAACAGCCTACACCAAAAATGAGCCAATGATTTCATGACACATATACCAATGCCACAAAGGTAGTCCCCTATGATCTCATTTGCATTATTTATTTAAGAAAATTAATATATCACAATTGTGCATATGATCTTATAGAAATAAAAAAAAATTCATCACATTAACAAAAAAATAATTTTGCTTTGCACCAACAGCATGGCATGACATGAGAAGAAATAAAAATGCAAAATGTCAATGATAGAAATATTCTAAAAAATCTTGAGCATTTTTACATTTCTAACCTTTTCTAATATGAAAGATTTTTTAGTGCATAAATATAAAATACAAAATAAGTTTCAAAATAGTCCCAACATTTATACAATTGTCATATTAACCCTCAAACTTTTTTAAATTAAGGTTGAAGTTTTCCATATAGATGACTATTGGATGTTAATTTTAAAATAGTCGGAAACTATTTTGACACTTCTATAAACTCTTAGACTAAAAAATCCCCATATAAATAGTCTGAGACAGCCTAACACTTAATAGTAAATTTAGGTGCTCAACATATAAATGCATAAAAATTAAGCGATATGTGTTTAAATGTCTTATTTTATAATAATCAACGCCACTAAATTAGGGAATTAAATTCGGGGCGTAAACGAATCAAACACGAGCAAGATTTAAATATCACTGTTCATGTTCGGCTCATTTATATTTCAAACAGAAAAAATGCGTCCATGTTCGATTCGTTTGCTTAGCGAGTCAAATATTGTTGTTCGCGAACAAAGTGTCGTTTTGACAACCCTGGACACACAATTTTAGAATGTTAAGAGTTGGGACAAGATTTAAATCTTATTATTTATATTTAAACATCTTTTAAATATAATTTAATATTTTTTTATTCTATTTTTCTAATTAATAGTTTTAATTGATTATAAATTTTTATATATTATTGTAGTCAATTAATTTTTAATATATTGTTCGACTCGTTTATATATCGATCGATAAAAAATTATTATTGTTAACATAATGAATGAATCAAACACGAGCTTTTTAACGAGCAGAATAACCAACCGTTTTGAGAGCACTTATTATAATCAAACATTCTCATTAATTACACACCACAACCTTCCCATGTTCCAAAATATCCCCCTTTAATCAACTCAGCCCTATCACCAATACAAAACTCTAAAGCTCTATTACATAATAAAACAGAGTTACAGCAGCGGAGGGAAATCCCTTCAAATCATCCCCAAAAGGTTACTTCTGCAAAAAAGCAAAAAGGATAAAGCAACCGAGCAAGCAATTCAAATTTGCAGAACAGGCCCTGTTCCGAACAATTTGAATCTCCCAAACCGAGAATGCACAGCCCTTCGGCCTTCGACGGGAGCTCGCCGGGCTCCGCCGGCGGCGGCT